ACAGGACTAAGATCGAATCCTGCTACGCCGGCTCCGACGCTCGACAGATGTGGCAGGGCTTGCAAACTATCACAGATTATAAAGGGAAACCCAGCCGCGTGCTGCCCAGCGTCAGGAGCGTAGCAGATGAGCTAAATGCCTTTTATGCTCGCTTCGAGGCAAGCAACACTGAACCATCCATGAGAGCACCAGTTGTTCCGGACGACTGTGTGATTTTGCTCTCTGTAGCCGAAGTGAGTAAGAGCTTTAAACAGGTTAACATTCACAAGGCCAGATGGAATATCAGGATGCGTACTCAGAGCATGCACTGACCAGCTGGAAAGTGTTTTCAATGACATTTTCAACCTATCTCGACCCGGTCTGTACCAACAAGAATGCTGTTCATTGACTGCAGCTCAGCATTCAACACCATAGTCCCCTGCACGCTCATCACCCTGGGACTGAACACCTCCCTCTGAAACTGGATCCTGGACTTCCTGACGGGCCGCCCCCAGGCGGTGAAAGTAGGCAACAACACATCCTCCACGCTGACCATCAACACGGGGGCCCTTCAGTGGTGTGTGCTTAATCCCTTCCTGTACTCCCTGTTCACTCACGACTGCGTGGCCATGCACGACTCCAACACCATCATCAAGTTTGCTGACAAACTTGATGGTGGTAGCACTGATTACAGATGACGATGAGGCAGCCTATAGGGAGGAGATCAGAGTGTGGTGCCAGGATAACAACCTCTCCCTCAATGTCAGCAAGACAAAGGAGCTGATCATGGACTACAGGAAACGGAAGGCCGAGCTCGCCCCCATCCACATCAATGGGGCTGTAGTGGAGCTGGTCCAGAGCTTCAAGTTCCTCGGTGTCCACATCACTAAGGAATTAACATGGTCCACACACACCCACACAGTTGTGATGAGGGCACGACAGCGCCTCTTCCCCCTCAGGAGGCTGAAAACATTTGGCATGGGCCCTCAGATACTCACAGCTGCACCACTGAGAGCATCTTGACTGGCTGCATCACCGCTTGGTACGGCAACTGCAAGGCACCCGACCGCAAGGCACTACAGAGGGTGGTGAGTACGGCCCAGTACATCACTGGGGCCGAGCTCCCTGCCATCCAGGACCTCTATACCAGGCAGTGTCAGAGGAAGGCCCAAAAATTGTCAAAGACTCCAGCCACCCAAGCCATAGACTGTTCTCTCTGCTACCCCACAGCAAGAGGTACCAGTGCACCAAGTCTGGAACCAACAGGACCCTGAACAGCTTCTACTCCCAAGCCATAAGACTGCTAAACAAGACTGCTAAATAGCTAATCAAATGGCTACCCGGACTACCTGCATTTACCCTTTTTTGCACTAACTCTCTTGCACTGACTCTATGCACACACACTGGACTCTAACCACACAGCCATACACACACACATAACACGCGCACACATGCATACTGACGCCACACACACTCACACACACAAAGACTTTCAAACTCACCACATATGCTGTTGCTACTGTCTATTATCTATCCTGTTGCCTAGTGACTTTACCCCTATCTATATGTATATATCTACTCCTGCACATCGAATCTGTACTGGTAATCCCTGTATATAGCCATGTTATTTTGACTCGTTATTCATTTATCCCTGGTGTCACTATTTCTATAAAAAAAAAAAAAATCTTTAACTGCATTGTTACTAAAGGAACCGTAAGTAAGCATTTTACTGTAAGTCTACACCTGTTGTTTACGACGCATGTGACAAATATAATTTGATTTGATTTGTTGTTGTGATGTTTATTTATGGAGTTGATAGTAACCAACACCCATTCAGAGCTTCAGTCATCACGAGTCTGGCATAAAGGAACCATGTCCCCAGGCAAATAATAACAGCAGGTCAGACATAGAGAGAGGTGGCTGGTGGACGAGAATAGGCCTTGTGGTAGAAGGCTGTGTTGACCTATGTGTTACTGCTCCAGAACTTCCCTGCTGGGATCCAATGTGATTCTGGATTGTGGCCCTGCAGTGTGAGTGTGCGAGAAGGACATAGTCACAGAAACAGATGCTCCACTCTGGAACGCTCATGCATCACTTTACGCATCGCCACTTCCTGTCTGGAGTGGAGGAGTGGGTGTTGCTACGGGAACACTTGAAGGAGGAGAACGCTCCACCATCACTCACTAACGCACCACTGGGAGGTTATTTACTGATCACAGATCAGAGTTTACCTTAAGGTTTGTGTCTACACAGCCCAGACTCCACGCTCTGACACCTCTTCGTACTTAACTAATAGTAAACATCTTGTTTCTGTGTGCGTGGGTCTTTCTCTCATGAGACGAGCGTTATCCTGCTCTCTCCCTGTGGAACAGCGATGGTGACGGGGTGGAGGAGGCTCTTCCTGTTATGTCACAACCTTGTCCCCTGGCTCACCCCTCTGCACACACACACTTCCCGTCACTTGTGTCTCGTAATGTCTTTGCAGGAATTCCTCTGGCCATGTCACAGTTACATGAGGAAATCTTGCAGGTGCAGTTTTGCTCTGGTAGCTACGTGTTGTGTTTTTGTTCTGAAAAACTAAACTAAACTCTTGTGAAACAAAGACAAAACAAAAGTGTAGACTATTGTCAATGTTAAAAGACCTTAATTTCCTCATAAAACAGACTATTTTGTGTCTTGCTGAACAGCGTGTCAGTGTTGGTGGTGTTACATTAGATTTTTTAGGAGTTTAATAAGAAGTTGTAACACACACAGTGGTGTAAAGTACTTAAGTAAAATTACTTTAAAGTACTACTTAAGTAGTTTTTTTGGGGTATCTGTACTTTACTATATATATTTTTGACAACTTTTACTTCACTACATTCCTAAAGAAAATAATGTACTTTTTACTCCATACATTTTCCCTGACACCCAAAAGTACTCGTTACATTTTGAATGTTTAGGAAGGACACGAAAATGGTCAAATTCACGCACGTATCAAGGTCATGCCTCTGATCTGCTTTTTTTTATTTGTTTGTAAATTATGTCTGAGTGTGCCCCTGGCTATCTGTATATTTAAAAAACAAGAAAATTGTGCCGTCTGGTTTGATTAATATAAGGAATTTGAAATGATTTATACTTTTACTTTTGATACTGAAGTCTATTTGAGCAATTACATTTACTTTTGATCCTTAAGTATATTTAAAACCAAATACTTTTAGACTTTTACTCAAGTAGTATTTTACTGGGTGACTTTCACTTTTACTTGAGTCATTTTCTATTAAGGTATCTTTACTTTTACTCAATTTGGGTACTTTTCCCACAACTGCACACAGACACGTATGCAAACAAACACACACATATACACACGTGCACACACACACACACACACACCACACAGTTAAAGGACACCCTTGTAAGGGCCGGTCTGGCGATATGTGTTGCATGGGCGGAAAGATCAGAGGTCAGTTGATGGTCAGATGGTCAGATGGTCATGAGAAGCTGTGATGACACACACACACTGACATGCACACATTTGTGTTTTGTGACAGTAACGACATCCCATCACTTCAACTCTCCTGTTCCTCTGTCTCGCTGTCTCTCTGGCGGGTGTGTTTGGGCCTGTTGTTGTGGAATGCGTTGCCAGGTTACGAGAGCAGAGAGGACCCAGGCGTAAACAATAGATGTCTGATGTTTAGATACACTTTATGAGCTCTGAAACCTAAACTCCACTCTGCCTCTCTGTCTCCACACACGCCCACACGCCCACACACACACGCCCACGCCCACACACACTAGCACCGTTTAAACCTGCATGGTTCTAACTTGCATCTTTTGTCCTGATCTTGTCCACATTCTGATTGTGCCCACATTTTTAGACAGTCAAAAGGCACATTGTGATCAGATCATAGTCAGACACACATTGTATCTGGATATCTTAAAAGTGTAGATGGTCTGGACAGAGAAACCATTTAAATCAGAATTATTCCATTGACAGGTGGTGCCATTGACTGATTACATCAGTATGTGTCTTACAATAAATATTATTTTGAAAGCTGTGAAATGATTTGCAGAGAGAAAGAGAGAGACACTCATTTTCCAGCACTCTTTAGTTCTTCCCTCTCCCTCTCTCTTTCTCTCTCTCTCTCTCTCTCTCTCTCTCTTTCTCTCTCTCTCTCTCTCTCTCGCTCTCTTTCCCTCTCTCTCTTTCTCTCTCTCTCTTTCTCGCTCTCTCTCTTTCTCTCTCTTTCTCTTTCTCTCTCTTTCTCTCTTCTCTCTCTTTCGCTCTCTCTCTTTCCTTGTCTCTCTCTCTCTTTCTCTCTCTCTCTTTGTCTCTCTCTCTCTGAGACGAGTCATCATCATTAAGTTCAGTTGCATTGAGGACAGAATGACAGGTAAATAGAAAAACAGGGAGAGAAAGACTTATAGAAACTAATATATTAGTTCTCAAGTGTCATACCACTTAAATACCACCTATAATGAGTTTTCCTCATCAGAAGCTGCTGCTGTACAGTCAACATGACAGACTGTTCTCTGCAGTGATAACCAGAGTAGAGAGGTTTTAATGGTTATTACAGTTACACCAACACTCACCTGTGGAATCATGCATATGTCTATGGATGAACCGTCAGAAACATACACACACACACACCCACGCACGGATAGTCCTCTCTCAGCCCAAAGCACATGATTTTACTCAAAAACAGTAGGTCCAGATAGCCTTTATTCAGATAGACATTTTCCCCACTCCTCTCTCCATTACTGTGTTGTACACACCAAGGTTATAATAGTAAACAAAAACTGAAACAAAAATTAAATAAAAACAAAAATTGAAAAACAATTGAGCAAACTGATATAAAGTAATGAAGAAAAATGTTTGAAAAACTAAAACTATACTGAAACTATTATCTTTGACTGCAAAAAAAACTAAAATATAATTAAAACCATCATGAATTATGTTCAGTTGCAAACGTTTCTCTCTGCCAACAAGAATGGTGTGAACAGTTTGAACAGTTTTGGGGTCGCATGGATTGCAAGGTGGGGGTTTGTTACTACGCCAATAAATAACAATATCCATCTGGATCTTTTCCACCTAGGAAATTTGTGTGACCGGACCTTCTCAAATAGTACTTGAGTACCCCTGCTATAGTCTTTCAACACATACATGGCTCCTAGCCTCCCACACATAAGGCTACTTTCTGTCCCTGACACTAAAACTGAAACGGAAAATAATAGAAAAACGAAATATAAATGTTTTTTATCGAACTGAAACGGAATAAAAACGAGTAAATCAAGTCTGAAAACTAATGGAAACTAAACTGAATTTGAAAAAAAATCAAAAAAGTAATAGAAATAAAATCTAATAGAAAATCACCAAACTATAATAACCTTGGTACACACTCAGATATTCATTTACACTGGGCTTGTCAAACTGTTAACACCAAGGGTTCAACTGAGGGATGTTTAGGTGGTGGAACTGTCTCCAACGTTGGTCGTTTTTCCATGGTCATTTCTACTCTTTACTGCATGCAGTCTTTCTCCCATTCTAAAGTGATGGAACCCTTTTCATTTAACTCTTGGCTAGCTAGCATCTTCACTGATATCAGGCTACATCAAAAACATAATGGAGTATCTGTACAAAAAAACAGTCAGAGGGAAACAGTGAAATAAAGTCTCTGAGCAACAATCTACACAATTATAGCAAGCAGCTTGAAAAGGAGTGTTTGAACCATCACACACAGTGCACAGCCAGTCAAGACACACCAGCTGGGAATGAGCAGTCTAAATTCTAAATACAGACTCAATTCATTAACAGGGGAAATAAGTTATTGAGCTGAATGAGCGCATGATTATGGTGAGACCAGGTAGTATTTATAACATATGCATACAACCAATCAAAGTAAATATAACAATTAAACAAACACTGTTTCTAGAGAATGGCATCCGTTTCTCCCTGCAAGGCTTTCTTCTGGTTGTCCTTCTTTATACGGTGGAAAGCGATGACCAGGACGAGGGCTATGGAGGAAGTAACATCACCCGTCAACAACAGTCAAACATTTATATTGGAAACCCAGAACTAAAATCCTGCGTAAATGCATTAGATACTCGATTAGTCTGTCCACGAGAGATTAGTCAAAAATAACAACAAAAACAATCAACAACAACAAAATGTTTTATGTTACAGCTAGGTCTTAGTTCCTCGATTGTACCATTCCTCCCTCTTCTCTTAAAGTGCGGTACACATCAACAACACCAGTGAACAACAGCGCCTGTTACTCACCGATGAATCCGACAGTTCCAGCCAGGATTCCAACGGTGGTGGGCATTCCTAACACCCCTGCATGAACGTCCGGCTTGGTGAAACAGTATCCCAGCTCTGTACAGTTACACACTCGCACTGTAGGGAGAACACACACGTCAGAGACAAATACACATTGCTAGAAGACACCCACTCACAGCTACACAGTGGTGTGTGTGTGATATGTGCTATTACACACACCTGGCTGTAACCACTCACCCTCAAACTTCTGTGTGATGCCCATGCCAGCGTTGTCTTTGATGTTGATGGGGATTAGGAATGTTTTGTCCTCGCTGGGAGATTTCTTCAGGGTCAGTTTAGCAGACGTACCTACAGGAAACCAAGGGAAGAGACACAATCCCACATCAGCACGGGAGGACATTACTAGACAGGATCTCTAGGAGATGTAGTCTTGTCTAACAAATGTGTACCGTCCACAGTGCTTAGGTCCCAGTTGGGGGACTTCTTGCCCTGGGCCAGGCTGAATGTGAAAGGTGCTCCGAAGGGGTCTGCGTCTGCGTCCAGGGCCGTCAGGACTATAGGCTGGGGCTTCTTCACACAGATGAAAGCCTGGTTCTCTGTCAGCTTGGGGACATTGTCATTCACATCCAGCAGCCTCACAGACACCTCGCGCTCTGAGGACAGCTCTGGATTGGCTGGGGGTGGAGAGGGGGAGAGATGTTATTCATTATGGATATTCTCTAACTTGGACTCAAACTGAGTTTGTGGGTCAAAAAAAGTATCTGAAATATACATATGTGTGTTCTTCACCTTTCTCGAAGGCGACAACAGTAAAGTGGAAGGCCTCCACCGTCTCTCTGTCCAGCACGGCTTTATTCTTTATCTTTATCTCTCCAGTAGCAGGATCAATCTCCAACCAACCCTTAGTGTCTCCCTCCATCTTGAACCTACAATGCACACACACACACACTGTCAGAGCCATAACACACACACACACACACACACACACACACACCATCAGTCCCTCTCATCATGTGATTACAGTATCTCTTTGCCCTCTGGGTCCTTGGCGTTTATTTTGAGCAACGTAGCTCCCTCCTTGGTGTCCTCTGGCACCGCGACATCCAGAATGTCCATGGCAAACACTGGAGCCTCATCAACGTCAATGATCGCCAACGAGACGACGGCGGAGGACTCAGCACCGTACTCCAGACCCTTCACCAGGGGTTCTGGGTTTCGAGCATCAATCTGTAGCATATAGGAAGAAGCAGCCTCATAGTTCCAGAGGCGGAGAGGGGAGAGAGGCTGGAGAAGAGGGGGAGGGAGGAAGAGGAGGGAGGAAGGTGGAGAAGGAAGAGATAGGAGGGAGGGCGGCATATAGGGGAGAAGAAGGAGAGATGGGGGGGGCTCTCTTCGTTGAGGGAGTTGTTTCCTAGGTTAGGCGTTGTTCTTACTTCTTTTTGAGGCTTTTTTTTAGTCCGGAGGTTTCCATTTGTTTCTCGCTTTTTCTTTTTCTTTTTTTTTAGTGCTCTTTGATTTTTCTTTCTTTTCTCCTTTTTCTTATTGTGATCTCTACTTTTTTTTCTTCTTTTATGTTCTTCGTTTTTTCCTCTTTTCCCTCCCTCTCTTTCTCTCTCTTTTTTTGTTATTTTCGCATTTTTTAGGAGATCGGACTGTGAGCATTATGGGCAAATGGAGCGTTTTGTTGTTGGTTTGTTTCAGGCTGCTGGTGGAAGTTTCCCTTAATAATCAATACAACCATAGATCTAGGATCAGTTTACCATCTTTATCATCACCTATCAAAATCTGACCTTCCATAGGTGTCTTCCAGTATGAAATTACCTTGGCAACAACAAGCCTGCCCTCCCCATTGTCGTCTGTCTCCATGGCGAAAACTCCATCTTGTTGCCCGCGGTTATGTGGAACTCGATGCGGGAGCTTCCTGTTCCAGGGTCGTCAGCGTCTGTGGCTTTTACCGTCAGGAGGGTGTGGCCTACAGCTGTGTCTTCAGACAGGTTGTGACTACCATACTACAAAGCAACAGCAAAAGACAGAGAGAGAGAGAGAGAGAAGAGAGGAGAGAGAGAGAGAAAGAGAGAGAGAGAGAGAGAGATGGAAGATAGAGCGAGAGATAGCTATATCGAAACCCACATAGAGCTTGAATTCCTATACGGGCTTGATGAGCGTGCGTGAGTGGCTGCTTGAGCCTGGTGATTGCGTGGTTGGCGTGCGTGCTGCTGATGTCTGCTGCTTGCTGCTCGTCGTCTCTCTCCTTCTCCCTCTCCTGCGCGCGAGCGCCGCTCCGTCTCGCGAGCCCCTTCCCTCGCGACGCCGCGCGCGACGAGCGAGAGTTTAAAGGTCACAGGTACACCCTACCACTAAAGCATCTATGAAACTCAGGTGTCTCAGGTATGTCTCAGGTGTGTGCCTCAGGTATGTCTCAGGTATGTCTCGGTGTGTCTCAGGTATGTCTCAGGTGTGTGTCTCTCAGTATGGTTCATGTGTCTCAGTTTCTCAGGTATGTCTCAGGTATGTCTCGGTGTGTGTCTCAGGTGTGTGTCTCAGGATGTGGCAGGTCAGTGTGTCTCCGGTGGTGTGTCTCAAGGTATTTCTCAGTGTGTGTCCTCAGTAATGTGTCCTCAGGTATGTCTCAGGTATGTCCAGGTGTGTGTCTCAGGTATGTGGCCTCAGGTATGTCCATAGGTCTCAGTATGTCTCAGTATGTCTCAGGGTGGTGTCTCAGGTGTGTGTCTCAGGTATGTCTCAGGTGTGTGTCTCAGGTATGTCTCAGGTGTGTGTCTCAGGTATGTCTCAGTATGTCTCAGTGTGTGTCTCAGGTATGTCTCAGGTGTGTGTCTCAGGTATGTCTCAGGTGTGTGTCTCAGGTATGTCTCAGGTATGTCTCAGGTATGTCTCAGGTATGTCTCAGGTGTGTGTCTCAGGTATGTCTCAGGTGTGTGTCTCAGGTATGTCTCATGTGGTGTGGTCTCCAGGTATGTCTCAGTATGTCTCAGGTATGTCTCAGGTGTGTGTCTCAGGTATGTCTCAGGTGTGTGTCTCAGGTATGTCTCAGGTGTGTGTCTCAGGTGTGTCTCAGGTGTGTCTCAGGTATGTCTCAGGTGTGTGTCTCAGGTGTGTGTCTCAGGTGTGTGTCTCAGGTATGTCTCACGTCATTCATCTCGAAGATGGGGAGCTCATTGTTGATGTCGATGACCTTGATGAGGACCTTACATTCTGTGCTGAAACCTGACAGACACAAAACAGTATGTGAGGGCCCATGGAAGCAAACACGTGTCTATGCTGTTCAAACTTTTAGGCCAAGGTCAAGTGTGTGTGTGTGCGTGCCTGTGTGTGTGCGTGCATGTACCTGGGTCGTTTACTCTGACAGTGAGGTGGTACTCTGTTGCGTCTCTGCGTTGGAGCATCTGCTTGGCCTGGATGCGGCCGCTGATGCCATCGATGGTAAAGACGGATGAAGGGGTTTGGGACACCAGTGAATAGGAGAGCAGTGCGTTGGGTGTGTTGATGTCATCAGCGTCATGCACCATCAGATCTCCAATTGGACTGCCTGGAACCCAGAGGAACCAATCACACAGGTTATATGAGTTACTGTTAGAATGCTTCAGCTCTGAGCACAATAAACGATGTTTTCCCATGGTCACATACCTTTGATATAACAACACAGTCCTAACATCAGTCACAACACAGTCCTAACATCAGTCACAACACAGTCCTAACATCAGTCTCAACACAGTCCTAACATCAGTCACAACACAGTCCTAACATCAGTCACAACACAGTCCTAACATCAGTCACAACACAGTCCTAACATCAGTCACAACACAGTTCTAACATCAGTCACAACACAGTCCTAACATCAGTCTCAACACAGTCCTAACATCAGTCACAACACAGTTCTAACATCAGTCACAACACAGTCCTAACATCAGTCTCAACACAGTCCTGACATCAGTCTCAACACAGTCCTAACATCAGTCACAACACGGTCCTAACATCAGTCACAACACAGTCCTAAATTCAGTCTCAACACAGTCCTAACATCAGTCACAACACAGTCCTAACATCAGTCACAACACAGTTCTAACATCAGTCTCAACACAGTCCTAACATCAGTCACAACACATACCTAACATCAGTCTCAACACAGTCCTAACATCAGTCTCAACACAGTCCTAACATCAGTCACAACATAGTCCTAACATCAGTCACAAGATATGAGACTTTTCACACATTTATAGAAAATTATGTGGACACCTGCTCGTCGAACATCTCATTCCAAAATGGGAAGGCTTTCCACTAGATGTTGGAACATTGCTGCGGGGACTTTCTTCCATTCAGCCACAAGATCATTAGTGAGGTTGGGCACTGATGTTGGGCGATTAGGCCTGGCTCGCAGTCGGCATTCCAATTATCCCAAAGGTGTTTGATGGGGTTGAGGTCAGGGCTCTGTGCAGGCCAGTCAAGTTCTTCCACACCGATCTCGTCAAATAATTTCTGTATGGACCTCACTTTATGCACGGGGGCATTGTCATGCTGAAACAGTAAAGGGCCTTCCCCAAACTGTTGCCACAAAGTTGGAAGCACAGAATCGTCTAGAATGTTATTGTATGCTGCAGCGTTAAGATTTCCCTTTACTGGAACTAAGGGGCCTAGCTCGAACCATGAAAAACAGCCCCAGACCATTATTCCTCCTCCACCAAACATTACAGTTGACACTATGTATTCGAAACCCAGATTAGTCCGTCGGACTGCCATATGGTGAAGTGGGATTCATCACTTCTGTCACGGATTCAGCAGAGGCTGCCCCTCCTCCTTGCTCGGGCAGGCTTCGGCGTTCGTCGTCACTGGAGTACTAGCTGCTACCGATCCATGTATCTATGTTCGACTTCCCATCATGTAGTTATGTCTTCCCTATTTAACCCTCTGTCTCACACTGTGTGTTGTGTGTGTTTGTATTAGTCTTGGTTGTCATTAGTGTGCGGGATTATTCCCTCCCTGCGTGGAGGTTTGCTGTTCATTCTTTTACCTTCGAGTAAAGTACACTTTTGATTAGCTCTGTCCTGCGCCTGACTTCGCCTACCGCATTACACTGACGCCTTGACAGAAACACGCACCATAACATGGAGTCAGCAGGAACAGCTGTGCCAGCCGGATCGATGGAGGAACGCTTCCAACAACAAGCGGCCATGATCCAGGCTCTCGGCACAGCTATGGAACGAGTAGTAAATACTATGGAGCGATGGGAGAGAGGAGATATCCCTATACCTCCTCCAATTACACCACCACCTACACCGATGTCCATCTCTTCACCATCTGCGTCCAGTGGGATTCGGCTCTCGCTCCCTAGGGCTTATGACGGTACAGCTGCCGGGTGTCAGGGTTTTCTGCTCCAGGTAGAGCTCTACCTGGCAACCATCCACCCAGCTCCCTCGGGATACGAGAGCGTGTCCGCCCTCATCTCCTGTCTGTCCGGTAAAGTGCTGGAGTGGGCCAACACCGAGTGGGGGGGAATAGACGCCGCAACTGTAAGCTATGCGGAGTTTACCCGCCGCTTTAGGGCGGTATTTGATCATCCACCAGAGGGGAGAGCGGCGGGTGAGCGTCTATTCCATCTCAGACAGGGGAAGAGGAGCGCGCAGGAATTTGCACTGGACTTTCGGACTCTGGCTGCCAGCGCAGGATGGAATGAGAGGGCCCTCATCGACCACTACCGTTGCAACTTAAGGGAGGACGTTCGTCGGGAATTGCCCTGCAGGGACACCAACCTAAACCTGGACCAACTAGTGGATATTTCAATCCGACTGGATAACCTGTTGGCCACCCGCAGACGTCCGGTAGAGGGGCCGTCCATTCCATCCCCCAGCACCTCCGATCCTACCCCTATAGAGCTCGGAGGTGCTGCTATGAGGGAGGCCGGTAGAGGGGCCGTCCCCTGCACCAACTGTGGCCGCAGAGGACACACTGCTGGTCGGTGCTGGGGAGGGCCTTCAAGGAGTCGAGGCAGTAGGCAGCGCACTGATGAACCGTTTCAGGTGAGTAGGCACCCAACTCACCCAGAGCTCTCTGTTGCGCATATGTGTATAAATGTAGTATTTCCTGAGTTTTCTTCTCATTCCCAGCATAAGGCGCTAGTAGATTCAGGCGCAGCTGGGAATTTTATTGATCGTCAGTTTACCCGTAGGTTAGGGATTCCTATTGTGCCAGTTGATGTGCCCTTCCCTATACATGCCCTAGATCAGGGTTCTTCAATTCCGGTCCTGGAGGGCCGAAACACTTCTGTTTTTTATTTCTACCTGGTAGTTAATTGCACTCACCTGGTGTCCCAGGTCTGAATTAGCCCCTGATTAGAAGGAGAGGATGAAAAACAGAGGTGTTTCAGCCCTCCAGGACCGGAATTGAAGAACCCTGCCCTAGATAGTCGCCCTTTAGGGTCAGGTCTGATTAGGGAGGTCACAGCGCCACTCTGGATGAAGACGCAGGAGGGGCATGAGGAAATAATTCGTCTATTTCTGATTGATTCTCCTGCGTTTCCAGTGGTGTTGGGGCTTCCCTGGTTAACTTCTCATGACCCCACTATTTCATGGCAACAGAGGGCTCTCAAGGGATGGTCAAGTCAGTGCTTGGGGAGGTGTGTAGGTGTTTCCGTAGGGGCAACTACGGTGGAAAGTCCAAACCAGGTTCCCACCATGAACATTCCACCTGAATATGCCGATTTGGCTCTCGCCTTCTGTAAAAAGAAGGCGACTCAATTACCACCCCATCGACAAGGGGATTGTGCGATAAATCTCCAGGTAGGCGCTGCGCTTCCCCGGAGTCACGTGTATCCTCTGTCACAGGAAGAGACGGCGGCTATGGAAACATATGTCACCGAATCTCTGAGACAAGGATACATTCGGCCGTCCACTTCCCCTGTGTCATCGAGTTTCTTTTTTGTGAAGAAGAAGGATGGTGGCTTACGCACGTGCATTGACAACCGTGGTCTAAATCAGATCACTGTAAAATACAGCTATCCATTACCTCTGATTGCGAGCATGACGTAGTCATTGCACGGGGCGCGCTTCTTCATGAAATTGGAACTTAGGAGCGCGTACAACCTGGTGCGTATCCGGGAGGGAGATGAGTGGAAGACTGCATTTAGTACCACCTCGGGGCACTATGAGTACCTAGTCATGCCATACGGTTTGATGAATGCTCCTTCAGTCTTCTAATCTTTTGTTGATGAGATTTTCAGGGACCTGCATGGACAGGGTGTAGTGGTGTATATTGATGACATTCTCATATACACCGCTACACGGGCAGAGCATGTGTCCCTGGTGCGTCGGGTGCTTGGTCGACTGTTAGAGCATGACCTGTATGTGAAGGCGGAGAAATGTTTGTTCTTCCAAGAATCCATCTCCTTCCTAGGACACCGCCTGTCCGCGTCAGGTGTGGAGATGGAGATTGACCGCATTTCGGCCATGCGTAATTGGCCGACTCCAACCACGGTGAAGGAGGTGCAGCGATTCTTGGGTTTTGCCAATTACTACCGGAGGTTTATCCGGGGCTTTGGTCAGGTAGCAGCCCCCATTACCTCCTTGCTAAAGGGAGGACCGGTGCATCTGCAGTGGTCAGCGGAGGCGGACAGGGCTTTTGGGCATCTGAAGGACCTGTTTACCTCGGCTCCGGTGCTGGCTCATCCGGATCCTTCCTTGGCATTCCAGGTTGAGGTGGACGCGTCCGAGGCTGGGATTGGAGCTGTACTGTCTCAGCGCTCGGGTACGCCACCAAAACTCTGCCCCTGTGCTTTCTTTTCTAAGAAGCTCAGTCCGGCGGAGCGCAACTATGATGTGGGGGACCGGGAGCTGTTAGCTGTGGTTAAAGCTCTGAAAGTGTGGAGGCATTGGCTTGAGGGTGCTGAACACCCTTTTCTCATTTTTGACTGACCATCGTAATCTGGAGTACATCCGGGCGGCGAGGAGGCTGAACCCTCGTCAGGCAAGGTGGGCCATGTTCTTCACTCGTTTTGTGTTTACTCTCACTTACAGACCAGGTTCCTAGAACGCTAAGGCAGACGCCCTGTCCCGACTGTATGACACAGAGGAGAGGTCCATTGAGCCCACTCCCATACTTCCGGCGTCGTGTCTGGTGCCACCGGTGGTGTGGGAGGTTGACGCGGACATTGAGCAGGCGTTACGTACCGAGCCCACTCCTCCCCAGTGTCCAGAGGGTCGGATGTACGTGCCGCTCGAGGTTCGTGATCGATTGATCTATTGGGCTCACACGTCACCCTCCTCTGGTCATCCTGGCATCGGTTGGATAGTGCACTGTCTTAGTGGGAAGTACTGGTGGCCCACTTTAGCCAAGGACGTGAGAGTTTATGTTTCCTTCTGCTCGGTGTGCGCACAGTGTAAGGCACCTAGACACCTGCCCAGAGGGAAATTACAACCCCTACCCGTTCCACAACGGACGTGGTCCCACCTATCGGTGGATTTTGTGATGGACCTTCCCCCCTCACAAGGGAACACCACGATCCTGGTTGTTGTGGATCGGTTTTCTAAGTCCTGCCGTCTCATTCCTATGCCAGGTCTCCCTACAGCCCTACAAACTGCTGAGGCCCTGTTTACACATGTCTTCCGGCACTACGGGGTACCTGAGGATATTGTGTCGGATCGGGGTCCCCAGTTCACCTCAAGGGTCTGGAGGGCGTTCATGGAACGTCTGGGGGTCTCGATTACCCTTACCTCAGGTTTTCACCCCGAGAGTAATGGGCAGGTGGAGAGAGTTAACCAGGATGTGGGTAGGTTTCTGAGGTCCTATTGCCAGGACCGGCAGGGGGAGTGGTCAGGTTATATCCCCCGGGCAGAGAAAACTCACTCCGCCACTCCTCTACTAACCTTTCGCCTTTCCAGTGTGTGTTAGGTTATCAGCCGGTTCTGGCACCTTGGCATCAGAGCCAGATCAAGGCTCCTGTGGTGGATGAGTGGTTTCGGCGCTCGGAAGAGACCTGGAACGCTGCTCATGTACACCTACAGCGGGCAATCAGGCGACAAAAGACGAGCGCCGATCGCCACCGCAGTGAGTCCCCGGTGTATGCACCGGGGGACCGGGTCTGACTCTCGACCCGAAACCTGCCCCTTCGCCTGCCCTGCCGGAAGCTGGATCGGCGGTTTGTGGGGCCATTTAAAGTCCTGAGGAGATTGAACGAGGTTTGTTATAGGTTACAACTTCCCATTGATTACCGTATTAACCCCTCGTTCCATGTGTCTCTCCTCAGGCCGGTAGTAGCTGGACCACTCCAGGAGTCTGAGGTACGGGAGGTTCCTCCGCCCCCACTGGACATCGAGGGGGCTCCGGCGTACTCGGTCCGTTCCATCTTGGATTCGAGGCGTCGGGTGGGGGGCCTGCAGTACCTCGTGGAGTTGTAGGGGTACGGTCCGGAGGAACGGTGCTGGGTCCCTAGAAGGGACATCCTCGATCCCTCCATTTTGAGGGATTTCCACCAGAGTCATCTGACCCACCCTGCTCCGTGTCCTCCTGGCCGTCCCCGAGGTCAAGGGGGGGGTACTGTCACGGATTCAGCCGAGGCTGCCCCTCCTCCTTGCTTGGGCAGGCTTCGGCGTTCGTCATCGACTTGTTTTGTCTTAATTGGTCACACCTGTTTCCCATCATGTAGTTATGTCTTCCCTATTTAACCCTCTGTCTCACACTGTGTGTTGTGTGTGTTTGTATTAGTCTTGGTTGTCGTTAGTGTGCGGGATTGTTCCCTCCCTGCGTGGAGGTTTGCTGTTCATTCTTTTACCTTCGAGTAAAGTACGCTTTTGATTAGCTCTGTGTCCTGCTCCTGACTTCGCCTACCGCATTACACTGACGCCTTGACAACTTCAGAGAACACATTTCCACTGCTCCAGAGTCCAATGGCGGTGAGCTTTACACCACTCTAGCTGGCGCTTGGCATTGCGCATGGTGATCTTAGGCTTGTGTGTGGCTGCTCGTCTATGGAAACCCATTTCATGAAGCTCCTGACGAACAGCGTGTTTGAAGTGCACAAAAGTAGTGCACTATATAGGGCCCTGGCCAAAAGTAGTGCACTACACGGGAATATCTCACTCTCACTCTCACTCTCACTCTCTCTCTCTCTCTCTCGCTTTCTCTCTCTGACGAACAGTTCTTGTGCTGACATTGCTTCCAGAGGCAGTTTGGAACTCGGTAGTGAGCGTTGCAACCGAGAACAGAAGATTTTTACGCGCTTCAGCACTTGGCGGTCCCATTCTGTGAGCTTGTGTGACCTACCACATCACGCTCAAAATTGTCAAAGACTCCAGTCACCCTAGTCATAGACTGTTCTCTCTGCTACCGCACGGCAAGCGGTACCGGAGTGCCAAGTCTAGGTCCAAAAGACTTCTCAACAGCTTCTACCCCCAAGCCATAAGACTCCTGAACAGCTAATCATGGCTACCCGGACTATTTGCACTGCCCCCCCACCCCATCCTTTTTACGCTGCTGCTACTCTGTTAAGTATTATGCATAGTCATTTTAACTCTACCCACATGTACATATTACCTCAACTAGCCGGTGCCCCCCGCACATTGACTATGCAACGGTACCCCCCCTGTATATATAGCCTCCTACTGTCCACTTTATTCTATTGTTATATAGCCTCCCTACTGTCACTTTATTTTTACTTCTGCTCTTTTTTTTTCTCAACACTTTTTTGTTTGTTGTTTTATTCTTACTTTTTTGTTTAAAATAAATGCCACTGTTGGTTAAGGGCGTGTAAGTAAGCATTTCACTGTAATGTCTGCACCTGTTGTATTCGGCGCATGTGACCAATAAAATTTGATTTGATTTGATTTGATTTGTTGCTCCTAGACGTTTCCACTTCACAATAACAGCACTTACAGTTGACTGGGGCAGCTCTAGCAGGGCATACATTTGACTAACAGACTTGTTGGAAAGGTGGCATCCTATGATGGTGTTTGTCTATGGAGATTGCATGGCTGTGTGCTCGTTTTTTTTACACCTGTCACGAACGGGTGTAGCTGAAATCCACTAATTTTAAGGGGTGTCCATATACTTTTGGCCGTGTAGTGTATCACACATGTCCCCAACCTATCACACACACATCCAGTAGTTAGTTACCTGTGGGTTCGTTCTCCTGCACTTCAAACACACTGAGTTCCTCCTCACAGATTGGAGGGTTATCATTCACATCGTCCACCACCACCTGCACCTCCAGGGGAGGGTCTACCTCGTTACCATGGCTATCCTCAGCAAACACCACCAGGATGTACTGGAACACACATGCACACAGTGATTTTGATGTGAACTATCCAGTGATGGACAGTACTCCATTAAATAATACTGCTTGGGATAGTGATTGTGATGAGGAGGTCTAGCTGGTTACCATGGCCTTGTCCTCTCTGTCCAGCTCCTCAGTCAGCAGAATGTCTCCTTCCTCCGTGACATTGAAGGGGAACGTCAGCTCCCGCTCTTTCTGTACCAGCCTGTAGAGGGCACTGGGATCATTAGACTGGACCTGCAGGGAGACAGTTAGACAGACAGACAGACAGACAGACAGACAGACAGACAGACAGACAGACAGACAGACAGACAGACAGACAGACAGACAGACAGACAGACAGACAGACAGACAGACAGACAGACAGACAGACAGACAGACAGACAGACAAATGTAGATATGTTATGTATCTTAACTGCTTTATATGTAACATTTTGCTTTAATCAGTGATGTCAATAGGAGATCACATTTAAGGTATGCATGCTGATTATGTGTTTTCTAAACAGTCTCCTTAGGTCATTAGTACTTTCTAAACAGTCTCCTTAGGCCCTTAGTGTTTTCTAAACAGGCTCCTTAGGTCCTTAGTGTTTTCTAAACAGCCTCATTAGGTCATTAGTGTTTTCTAAATAGACTCCTTAGGTACTTAGTGTTTTCTAAACAGACTCCTTAGGTCCTTGGTGTTTTCTAAACAGACTCCTTAGGTCCTTAGTGTTTTCTAAACAGCCTCATTAGGTCATTAGTGTTTTCTAAACAGACTCCTTAGGTCCTTAGTGTTTTCTAAACAGCCTCATTAGGTCATTAGTGTTTTCTAAACAGACTCCTTAGGTCCTTAGTGTTTTCTAAACAGCCTCATTAGGTCCTTAGTGTTTTCTAAACAGACTCCTTAGGTCCTTAGTGTTTTCTAAACAGACTCCTTAGTTAGGTACTGGTATACCTATGATTGTGTGATCTTAACCCTAATTGCTCCTGTAAGTCGCTCTGGATAAGAGCGTCTGCTAAATGACTAAAATGTAAATGTAAATGTAATCTCCACCCCTGCCGTACCTTGCCGATGGGCATGGGGTATATCCCTTTCAACTGTTCTCTGAGGTTGATTGGTCCAGGATTGACCCACAGGTTCTCCTGCACAGCAATGTTAACCCTTGCGTTACCGTTGAGAGCATTCAACGACTCCCCGCCCATGTCCTCCACACGCACAATCAGTGTGAAGTCTGGGTCTTCCAGAGGGTTCAGCCTCCGAGACTCTACAACCACAGAGGAAGAGACAGGACCTTTCACAGTCAATACAAAGGCACAACCGAAGAAGACAGGCCCAAATGATGCTCCATTTCCCATATGGCACAGGTATGTCTCAGGTGTGTGTTTTTGACTATCGCTCTATATGTCTATGGATGAACTGGCCAAAAGTAATGAACTGTATAGGGCCCTGGCCAAAAGTAATGCACTACACGGGAATATCTGAGCGTGACCTCGGGTCTCTCTGTGTGATAACACAGGGGTCAGAGGTGAGAGGTCAGGCTGCTCTGGCAGTGGCCACAGCTGAACTCACCAGCAGTATGTAGAGGAGGTTCTGTTCAGCAGCCTCTCAATCACACCACTAACACCTCTTAATCAGCCTTAATCACTTCTATAATCTAGAGATTAATCACTTAGATCGTAAATCTAGTCTAAGAGTAAAATAAGGATGGGGACAAAAGGACCGAGAGATATAAAGGTGGGAAGATGATCGACTAGAGAGATGGTGAAAGAGAGAATAGTAGAGATAGTAAGGCAGCTCATACAAGAGATCGAATAGATTTATCTGCTAGAATAATAGTATAATATCTATTAATCTCTATACTCGTATTTTGTATCTCATCAATAGATAGCTCCATTGCCTCTGATGTCCTCCTCTCTCTGTCTACTCGATATCTCGAGCTATATCTAGCTATCTGTAATCTAGAAGCGATACTCGCTAATCACGAGAGCGATATAAAGATACAGATAGCTGAAGAGCACGCAACCTCTCTCTAGTACTATCTACAATCTATAATATTATACATTCTTTCTCTCTCTTGTATCTATTTCATCTCTTCTAATTGATCTCTGCGCTCTCTCTCTACTATATCTATACATTTTCTCTTCTCTCTCTTTATCCTCTCTCGTCTCTCTCTCTCTCTCTCTCTCTCTATCCTTTTCTCTCTCTCTCTTTCTCTCTCTCTCTCTCTCTCGCTCTCTCTCTCGCTCTTTATCCTCTCTCTCTCTCGCTCTCTCTCTCTCTTGGACCATCTTGGTCAGGCTTACCTGACAATAGTGATTTTAGAGTTTCATCTAAAACTACTAGTAAGTACAGTGAAGCACACACAAACCTGCTCTCTGTACACAGCTGTAGAAGGGGTTGAGTTCATAAGGGATGTCATCTGTGGGGGTGCAGTACTCATCAAACTTCTTCTTCAGAGAATCCCTAAAGTCCCCTCCTCTGGAATGAACAACACCTTCCCTGGCCTTCAGCAGACGCTCTCCTGCAGGAACACACATACACACACAGCTGGAATCAGTAATATAATCACGTGGTACATGTGGTCAATATGACACCAAGCATGTGTTAATCTGATGTGTTAATCTGGAGCACGTGAGTTTAGTTGTAGTAATCTCGGCTGGTGTGAGACTACAGATGCAGAACTCACAGATTACCACTCATACAGGATGAAATGAGAGACCACAACATCTGGGATGATCTATGTGTGTGCACTTTGGGGCTCTCCGTGAGTGTGTGTGTGTGTTTGTGTGTGTGTGCGTGTGTGTGTGTGTTACCCTCGGCAGTAGTAGAAATATCTCCTGTGTTGCTGTTGATCTGGAAGAACAGTGTGTTGTCTCTGTTGGGGATCTGGGAGACCAGGGTGTAACTCAGATGGGCGTTGGGAGACTCTGGGTCGTCCAGGTCAGTAGCAAACACACGCGCAAATGGAACACCTGCAACACACACACACACATAATGAACACACAGACAGACAGAGAAACAGACAGACAGACAGAGAAACAGACAGACAGACAGACTGACAGACAGACAGACAGAGAAACAGACAGACAGACAGAGAAACAGACAGACAGACAGACTGACAGACAGACAGACAGACAGAGTGACAGACAGACAGACCTGCGGGGGTACGTTCCTTGACGATGCCGTTGTAGTCAGTCTGGTTGAAGGAGGGGGCATGGTTGTTGACGTCCAATACGTTGATGGTGATGCTGACTGGACCTTCTACTGGTTCTGAACCCACTAAGGCCTCCAGCTACAACACAACAACAACAACAACAACAACAACATGAAGCTGAAATGTGTGTGTGTGGGTCTGTACAAAATGTCATTGTGTATGTGTGTGCATGCAGATACTTGTCAGATCTGGGAATCGACCAGCTATCCGACTGTGTGTTACCTCTACAGTGTGTGTATGTCTGTGTGTTACCTCTACAGTGTGTGTATGTCTGTGTGTTACCTCTACAGTGTGTGTATGTCTGTGTGTGTTACCTCTACAGTGTGTGTATGTCTGTGTGTTACCTCTACAGTGTGTGTATGTCTGTGTGTTACCTCTACAGTGTGTGTATGTCTGTGTGTTACCTCTACAGTGTGTGTATGACTGTGTGTTACCTCTACAGTGTGTGTATGACTGTGTGTTACCTCTACAGTGTGTGTATGTCTGTGTGTTACCTCTACAGTGTGTGTATGTCTGTGTGTTACCTCTACAGTGTGTGTATGTCTGTGTGTGTGTCCTACAAGCTCTCACAGTCTCACGTCAGAATTAGACATTCATCCATGTTTCTCAAACATCACATTTTGAAGTTGTTCCAAATGTCAAATTTGGAAGTGTTTAAGGTTAAGCTTAGGCATTAACTCCAAATTCTTAAGGTTAGACATTAACTCTGAATGGTTAAGGTAAGGGTTAAGGTTTGGGATAGGCATAAAACTAAAATATCAAAAACAACTTTCTATCGCTGGATTTTAACATGCAACCTTTTGAATCAGAGGCAGATGCTTAGGCCCATCCTCCATCCCTGTCCACAACGCCAAAACCTACTTGAAGGTAACAGCGCTCACTGTTGCCTCTAGTGGGCAGTTTACACATCATCTCCTGACGTCCTCAGACATGGATGGACGTCAAATACTGACTTGTATCACGGGTGTGTTAACAACTACAGCGTGTGGTCTGTGTATGTTAACTACTATAGTGTGGGTCTGTGTATGTTAACTACTATAGTGTGGGTCTGTGTATGTTAACTACTATAGTGTGGGTCTGTGTATGTTAACTACTATAGTGTGGGTCTGTGTATGTTAACTACTATAGTGTGGGTCTGTGTATGTTAACTACTATAGTGTGGGTCTGTGTATGTTAACTACTATAGTGTGGGTCTGTGTATGTTAATTACTATAGTGTGGTCTGTGTATGTTAACTACTATAGTGTGGGTCTGTGTATGTTAACTACTATAGTGTGGGTCTGTGTATGTTAACTACTATAGTGTGGGTCTGTGTATGTTAATTACTATAGTGTGGGTCTGTGTATGTTAACTACTATAGTGTGGGTCTGTGTATGTTAACTACTATAGTGTGGGTCTGTGTATGTTAACTACTATAGTGTGGGTCTGTGTATGTTAATTACTATAGTGTGGGTCTGTGTATGTTAACTACTATAGTGTGGGTCTGTGTATGTTAACTACTATAGTGTGGGTCTGTGTGTGTTAACTACTATAGTGTGGGTCTGTGTATGTTAACTACTATAGTGTGGGTCTGTGTGTTAACTACTATAGTGTGGGTCTGTGTATGTTAACTACTATAGTGTGGGTCTGTGTATGTTAATTACTATAGTGTGGGTCTGTGTATGTTAACTACTATAGTGTGGGTCTGTGTATGTTAACTACTATAGTGTGGGTCTGTGTATGTTAACTACTATAGTGTGGGTCTGTGTATGTTAACTACTATAGTGTGGGTCTGTGTATGTTAACTACTATAGTGTGTGGTCTGTGTATGTTAACTACTATAGTGTGGGTCTGTGTATGTTAACTACTATAGTGTGGGTCTGTGTATGTTAACTACTATAGTGTGGGTCTGTGTATGTTAACTACTATAGTGTGGGTCTGTGTGTGTTACCTCTAGAGTGTGTTTGTGTGTGTTACCTCTAGAGTGTGTGTCTGTGTGTGTTAACTACTATAGTGTGGGTCTGTGTATGTTAACTACTATAGTGTGGGTCTGTGTATGTTAACTACTATAGTGTGGGTCTGTGTATGTTACCTCTAGAGTGTGTTTGTGTGTGTTACCTCTAGAGTGTGTGTCTGTGTGTGTTAACTACTATAGTGTGGGTCTGTGTATGTTAACTACTATAGTGTGGGTCTGTGTATGTTAACTACTATAGTGTGGGTCTATGTATGTTAACTACTATAGTGTGGGTCTGTGTATGTTAACTACTATAGTGTGGGTCTGTGTATGTTAACTACTATAGTGTGGGTCTATGTATGTTAACTACTATAGCGTGGATCTATGTATGTTAACTACTATAGTGTGTGGGTCTGTGTATGTTAACTACTATAGTGTGGGTCTATGTATGTTAACTACTATAGTGTGTGGGTCTGTGTATGTTAACTACTATAGTGTGGGTCTGTGTATGTTAACTACTATAGTGTGTGGTCTGCATATGTTAACTACTATAGTGTGTGGGTCTGTGTATGTTAACTACTATAGTGTGGGTCTGTGTATGTTAACTACTATAGTGTGGGTCTGTGTATGTTAACTACTTTAGTGTGGGTCTGTGTATGTTAACTACTATAGTGTGGGTCTGTGTATGTTAATTACTATAGTGTGTGGGTCTGTGTATGTTAACTACTATAGTGTGGGTCTGTGTATGTTAACTACTATAGTGTGTGGTCTGCATATGTTAACTACTATAGTGTGTGGGTCTGTGTATGTTAACTACTATAGTGTGGGTCTGTGTATGTTAACTACTATAGTGTGGGTCTGTGTATGTTAACTACTTTAGTGTGGGTCTGTGTATGTTAACTACTATAGTGTGGGTCTGTGTATGTTAATTACTATAGTGTGTGGGTCTGTGTATGTTAACTACTATAGTGTGGGTCTGTGTATGTTAACTACTATAGTGTGGGTCTGTGTATGTTAACTACTATAGTGTGGGTCTGTGTATGTTAACTACTATAGTGTGGGTCTGTGTATGTTAACTACTATAGTGTGGTGTGGGTCTGTGTATGTTAACTACTATAGTGTGTGGGTCTGTGTATGTTAACTACTATAGCGTGGGTCTATGTAGGTTAACTACTATAGTGTGTGGGTCTGTGTATGTTAACTACTATAGTGTGGGTCTGTGTATGTTAACTACTATAGTGTGGGTCTGTGTATGTTAACTACTATAGTGTGGGTCTGTGTATGTTAACTACTATAGTGTGTGGGTCTGTGTATGTTAACTACTATAGCGTGGGTCTATGTAGGTTAACTACTATAGTGTGTGGGTCTGTGTATGTTAACTACTATAGTGTGGGTCTGTGTATGTTAACTACTATAGTGTGGGTCTGTGTGTGTTACCTCTAGAGTGTGTTTGTGTGTGTTACCTCTAGAGTGTGTGTCTGTGTGTGTTAACTACTATAGTGTGGGTCTGTGTATGTTAACTACTATAGTGTGGGTCTGTGTATGTTAACTACTATAGTGTGGGTCTGTGTATGTTACCTCTAGAGTGTGTTTGTGTGTGTTACCTCTAGAGTGTGTGTCTGTGTGTGTTAACTACTATAGTGTGGGTCTGTGTATGTTAACTACTATAGTGTGGGTCTGTGTATGTTAACTACTATAGTGTGGGTCTATGTATGTTAACTACTATAGTGTGGGTCTGTGTATGTTAACTACTATAGTGTGGGTCTGTGTATGTTAACTACTATAGTGTGGGTCTATGTATGTTAACTACTATAGCGTGGGTCTATGTATGTTAACTACTATAGTGTGTGGGTCTGTGTATGTTAACTACTATAGTGTGGGTCTATGTATGTTAACTACTATAGTGTGTGGGTCTGTGTATGTTAACTACTATAGTGTGGGTCTGTGTATGTTAACTACTATAGTGTGTGGTCTGCATATGTTAACTACTATAGTGTGTGGGTCTGTGTATGTTAACTACTATAGTGTGGGTCTGTGTATGTTAACTACTATAGTGTGGGTCTGTGTATGTTAACTACTTTAGTGTGGGTCTGTGTATGTTAACTACTATAGTGTGGGTCTGTGTATGTTAATTACTATAGTGTGTGGGTCTGTGTATGTTAACTACTATAGTGTGGGTCTGTGTATGTTAACTACTATAGTGTGGGTCTGTGTATGTTAACTACTATAGTGTGGGTCTGTGTATGTTAACTACTATAGTGTGGGTCTGTGTATGTTAACTACTATAGTGTGGGTCTGTGTATGTTAACTACTATAGTGTGTGGGTCTGTGTATGTTAACTACTATAGCGTGGGTCTATGTAGGTTAACTACTATAGTGTGTGGGTCTGTGTATGTTAACTACTATAGTGTGGGTCTGTGTATGTTAACTACTATAGTGTGGGTCTGTGTGTGTTACCTCTAGAGTGTGTGTCTGTGTGTGTTACCTCTAGAGTGTGTGTCTGTGTGTGTGTTACCTCTAGAGTGTGTGTCTGTGTGTGTTACCTCTAGAGTGTGTGTCTGTGTGTGTGTTACCTCTAGAGTGTGTGTCTGTGTGTGGGCCCAGTCCAGGGCCTGTTCCAGGTAGAGCCAGCCGTCCTCTGAGATGCTGATCTTTCCTTCAGTCTCTCCTGTCAATCTGAACCCATCAACCTCAAGGTGGGATGCTTGGAACTGCAGACGGAGAGAGAATGGATTAATACAAAGACAAGAAATGAAGGGGACAGGTGTGTGTTTGTGTGTGTGTGTGTTACCTGGTAGAGGGCGTAGGGTACAGGTGTTCCCTCTGGTACGTCTAGAACCTTGTTCTCCAGTGGTCCCTTCTCCAGGCCTTTCCCAGCAGCCTATCACAAAACACGTGATAAATATACAGTAGCCCAGTGTTCCTCGTTGAACAGCCCCAGAGTTGCACATTTTTGCACCAGCCCAGTACTTGCACTCCTGATTCAGTCACTCAACTATAAATGAACACCTTGATTAGTTGAATCAGGTGTGCCAGTATTCGGCTGTAATGAAAATGTAAAACCCTTGGGATTCTCAAGGACAACACTTTAGCATGCAGTAGAAATTCTCTCTCTCCTTGCAGAAGGACAGTTACTCATTGACTCTACAGATTTACACAGAAGGAGACTGTCTGGTCTGCGTGAGCCTGTGCGTCTGTCCCTCATTCAATCTTTCAGTACGCTAATAAGTCACAGAGGGCGGCACAACGCCCTGTGGCATGTTTCCATGCCAACCAGAGCCAAAGCTCACACAGCAGTAACAAACCGGAACAGAACCCAGAGAAGTCTCACTCCTCAGACAGTTACAGTCAAATATGAATGTAAGAGTTAATGCATGTAGAGTAATACAGTATAACGTAAAATATTTGAGATCGTAATGAACTCACTGTGCCGATGAGGAGGCTGAGCAGCAGCAGGTGCATTGTGGGATGTGCCATGATAAGCTTCAGTGTCGAGACTCTGAGAGGAGGAAGATGGGAGGGAGAGGAGGGGGTGGAGATGGGGGAGAAGTAGAACACACAGAGGTAGACTGTAATAAAGCCTTTGTCAATGAGAGGTTGTGTAGGTCAGGGTTTCCCAAACTCGTCCCTGGGGCCCCCCTGGGTGCAAATTTTTTTCCCCCTAGCACTACACAGCTGATTCAAATAATCAAAACTTGATGATAATAATAATATGCCATTTAGCAGACGCTTTTATCCAAAGCGACTTACAGTCATGCGTGCATACATTTTTGTGTATGGGTGGTCCCGGGGATTGAACCCACTACCTTGGCGTTACAAGCGCCGTGCTCTACCAGCTGAGCTACAGAGGACCACTCATGATGAGTCGTTATTTGAATCAGCTGTGTAGAGTTAGAGCAACAACCAAAACGTGCACCCAGGGGGGCCCCAGGCCCGAGTTTGGGAAACCCTGGTCTAGGTGTGTGTGTGTGTGTGTGTGTGTGTGTGTGCGTGCGTGCGTGCGTGCGTGCTTGCGAATGGGTCCACCAGTGGTGAGAAGTGGTTCGTTTTTCAGCACCTTCCCTTCCCTGGTAGTAGAGTCTGTTACTGATTCCCCTGAAGGACTAGAGACAAGGGCTCTCTCTTACTATCACTAACAGGAATCCACTAAGGGAGTGTACTGTAGTCCAACTATCCCCTGCCAGGGCCACACTATCTCTCTCTCTATCAGACAGACTTTGAGCTGACGGGGAAGTCAATGGCCTTCATGTGTAGGACTCCTCCCACTCAACCAGATAGCCCCGCCCCCTGGTTAGAAACTGAAAGTCGGTTTGAGCCAGCGGCAGCCATGACTGACCATACATGGACGTTTAAAGCTCTAGGGGCAGAGAGGGGACAGGTAGCCAGGTTATCTAGTGTAAGTATTCCCTTTTGAAGATGACTGGACGACCACCACCCCCCTCCCCCTCCCCCTCCAGATGTGACTCATTCGTTAGTGAAAGGTCATTCGGGTGTGCGACCCCCCATGACCTGACAGTGACCTCATAGCCTGAAATAACAGCTTAGGGCGGGGGAACAGAGAGAGTAAAAATACCCTAAAGGTGTGTGTGTATTACTGTAGATTGAAATAGTGTCAGTCAGTGAGCCCCTCCTTGCTCCAACAGCAGCAGTCATACAGAGACAGAGACAGATATGAGGAACAGAATAAATCTACTGAGAGCTAATGCTCATCTCTACTGACACTCCTTCACTATAAACACTTTCATGAAGATTCACAACACACACACAACCACACACCTGTCATCTTTAGAAATATATATATCACAGGAGGTTGGTGGCACCTTAATTGGGGAGGATGGGCTTGTGGTAATGACTGGAGCAGAGTCAGTGGAATGGTATGAAATACGTTAAACTCATGGTTTCCAGGTGTTTGATGCCATTCCATTTGCTCCGTTCCGGACATTATTACGAGCCGTTCTGAAACCCTACCTCTTTGAAGTATCTTAAATAACTCTCACAGCGCCCCTTTTCCCACTAACACTGACTTTGCTGATAAATACTGTGATGACGGAAAAAGTACTTGATACGATTGTGATGTGTTGTTGTCTCACCTAGCTATCTTAAGATGAATGCACTAATTGTAAGTCGCTCTGCATAAGAGCATCTGCTAAATGACTAAAATGTCAAATGTAAATATACTCCAGAACACACACAACCATAACCTCAGCCTTCTGATGTACACGTCTCCATGACAGGCTAAAGGACACCAACAAGGAAAGGACATTCTGTTCTGTACAACGAGAACAGAGTGGATATAACACACCTCAACAGGATGTGCATCTGTACAGTGTGTGTTTGTGTTTTACCTGTTTCTCTAACTGTGTCAGTGTGTCCAGTACGTGTGAGTCTATAGCGTGTCCAGTACGTGTGAGTCTATAGCGTGTCCAGTACGTGTGAGTCTATGTGTATGACCCAGTCTTGTAGAGGGCAGAGAGAGGTGATAGGTGTATATTAAGAGTGTGAAGGTGACTTTGAGGCTTGCGGCTGCAGATGACCTTTGCTTCGCTCGCAGCACGATACGCTCTACCTGACAGTGCATTTAATTTTCCCTACCACAGGGGGCTGCTGAGGGGAGGATTGCTCATAATAATGGCTGGAATGGAGTGAATGGTATCAAACACATAGAAACCATGTGTTTGATGTGTTCGATACCATTCAATTTATTCCATGCCAGCCATTACTATGAGCCTGTACTCCCCAATTAAGGTGCCACCGGTCACCTGTGGTCCCTACATAGAACTCCCATTACTTGTCTCACTATCTAGCTACTGCTCAAATCTTATCTACTACCTTCTCCTAAAACACAAACTCTCTTCTGTTAGTCACCTGTTACATCTCTCTCCCGCTGGCTCTCTGCACTCTCTGTGTCTCCAGGAGTTCTGTCCCTGCTGACTGACTGACTGACTGACTGACTGACACAGGCCAGCATCGCCATTACTAATCATGCACAACACATGGGGATCAGAACACAGCAAACCAGCACTCCCAGACAAGCACAAGATGGATGACTAAAGGAAACACACTACTCTGAGATGTTGCGACATGTCTCCGTTATAAAACAGATTCATCTCAACCCTTAGAATGCATTTTTCTAACATTGTGTGAGGCCTGCTCTAGGCCTCTCTCTAGAAGGCCAACACTGAGTGACCTTTGGTGTCTTTCTGCCCTCAAGACCAGACCAGATCAAAGCCAGGCCCCTGTGTCTGACCCAGAAACCAGACCCCAGAGGCTCCAGAGGCCCCAGGACAGTGGTGTTCAATAACACAGACTTCAAGCTGCCATATATACACACACACTCACACACAAACACACACACTGGCCAACACCCCCCACACACACAGGCCCTGGCAAAGTCAAGTCAAGATCACTACACACACCCAACAGAAATCCCCTAACGGAAAATGCTCAATATTAAACACAAATATACAAAACAGAAGTAACCAACAGATACAGGCTTCAACTCAACATTGATGACACAGAAAAAGAGAGAGAGCGAGAGGGAATGAAAGAGGGAGCGAAGAAGAGGGAGAGACATACCTTGCTTAAGAGTTCCAGTGTCACTCCTTGGACTGTAGTGTGATCGCTACAGCCCCATCCAGCCTGGTCAAACGTTAACTCAACATTAACATGCAACACTTTATGGAACCTAATCATTGTCTAATCTCCCCGCCCCGACAGCAGGCCCAGCCAATAGAGAAGCAGGGGGACAGGAGAAGTGAGTGTAAATAAGGGATGTAATAAATTAATATAACATTAATATAATATAGTATAACATGAACATCACAGAATGTCAACCATGAACAGGACACAGGAACAAAAAGTACTGTACTTTGAAATGTATGTATGAATATTCAGTGCTAAGTCCCTATTGGAGTTCCTCCTGTTACTACAGGCCTTAGGAACCATACAACTGGCTACTGGACTCATCACCACACAGAACCAGCAGGCAGACTGAACAATCTGTAAGGGTGGAGGTGGAGGTGGGGATTACAAAGGACTGGAAAAGTTTCTCACTCACAACGGACTTTAACCTTTGACTTTATGAACTGCTTCCTGTCTGAGAATGTCTAGTAGTAAGCTGTTTAGAGGAGCTTTGCTCAGACACAGATATGACTGCTTCTCACACAGAGTGACACACCTCTGACAGGTCCCCTGTTATAATGAACTGATACAGTGTGCTGATTGGTGGAATGAGGAACTGTTTCCTAAATAGTCAGACAGGCCAGTTCATCTTGAGTCACCTCTAAAGACTAGGTTGTATTAAAAAAATTTTTTTTAATGTTTTTGTCATTTAGCAGACACTCTTATCCAGAGCGACTTACAGTTAGTGAGTGCATACATTTTTTTTTTTCTTCTTCACACTGGCCCCCCATGGGAATTGAACCCACAACCCTGGCGTTGCAAGCGCCATGCTCTACCAACTGAGCTACACGGGTGTTGTGTACTTGGCATCACAAGAAGATTAAAAAGGCTTCAGGTGTGTCACAGTTCAAACCCACTGGTCTAAAATAAAGGTACCGTATGGTTAGTTGAGATTTACTCAAATCTATAACCACAAACCCATATCTCACTGAGTCTATGTAGTTCTCTGTCCCTCCATGAACGCTTGGTCAGTAATAGTGCTGCCAATGATGATGAGGATGATGAGGATGAAGGTATTCATCTCCCTGATGACTCATTCAGTAGGTGATCGATAATCAATAATAGTCTACTTTGATCAGTCAGAGTGGTAAAGTACTGAAACAAGCTTCGGATATCAACCTAATGTACCTTGCCTCTGAGATAAGGAACACAAATACACACGCATGCACACACACACACACACACTAGGGGCGTAGCCAGAAATTCTTTGGTGGGTAGGCCTGCATTTTATTGTTTTTGCTCAATCTGATTGGGTGGGCCTGGCAGGGCCTGGCTCCCCAGTGGGTGGGCCTGGCAGGGCCTGGCTTCCCCAGTGGGTGGTCCTGGCAGGGCCTGGCTCCCCAGTGGGTGGGCCTGGCAGGGCCTGGCTCCCCAGTGGGTGGGCCTGGCAGGGCCTGGTTCCCCAGTGGGTGGGCCTGGCAGGGCCTGGCTCCCCAGTGGGTGGGCCTGGCAGGGCCTGGTTCCCCAGTGGGTGGGCCTGGCAGGGCCTGGTTCCCCAGTGGGTGGGCCTGGCAGGGCCTGGTTCCCCAGTGGGTGGGCCTGGCAGGGCCTGGCTTCCCCAGTGGGTGGTCCCGGCAGGGCCATGCCTACACCCCTGACACAAACGTAGACAGACAAATGACATTTCATCAGGCTGCTATTTAACCATGTCCTAGTTCTTGACTCCTCCTCCAGGATGTTACCTTGGCAACTCACTTACTTCTCACAATCTGAGATACCACTGTACAAGACGTGTCTGTGTGTCTAGTTTCCCTTCATCAATTGAAGGAGTGTTTCTAAAGGCAGCCCTCTCCAGGCAGTCATTCATACAGACATGGCTCTCTCTTTCCCTGCTGGCTTCAATCTCGTAACAGATTTAGCTGGACCCCAAACACACTCTGGCTGAAAGTAGCCTAATTATCCCTCTCTCACACACGCTACTGCCCTGGCACCAATCCCAGGTCTCTAGGGGGTCAGTGCCAATCATCCTGGTGGAAAACACACACTATGGAGTTATCTCTGAGGGGAGGATAACTGCTCTGTGTCACCTGCTGAGTCATGTTCCAATAGCATGTTTGTGTGTGTGATGTTATTGGAGTCTAGCAGGACAAAGACAACAAGTGAACAAAATGACATTTTAAAGAAAATATGGATTTTATTCCACAGCTAAACAAAACCAATGGAAAATATCCACACGTAGCAAAACATACACAATATAAGCAGTGCAGATTGTCAGTTCTCATTTGGACAGATAGGACTATGTACAAAACCACAGACATACAAACACCTTGTTGTCAGACTGAAAACTGCCCTGGTAACCTAGTTAAAGCAGAAAGAGAGAGAGAGGAGAGAGTGAGAGATGAATAAAGGACAGGAATTAACATATCTCATGACCCTAAAAGGATTAGAGCTCACTAATGATCTGGCACCTCTCTCTCTTTTCCTTTTTCAGTGTCAGAACACTGCATGTCCATTGGTTGATTCTCCAGACCGTCACAGAGGCTGGCGAATGGGGTGAAAGTTTTGAGGGGTCAGTCTAATGTAGACTGCAGTAGGGGCGGGGCTGTGTGTGTGTGCGTGTGTCCTGGGTCTCAGAGCACTGAAAGGTCATGGCAGGATTTGGACTTCAGACGGAACGCGGCGTTGGCATTGTTCTTGGCCACCATCTTGTCCAGGAGGCGTTTGGCCTTCTTGGGTATGCTGTCGCAGCGTGTGTGTGAGTATGTGTGTCTGCGGCGGTCGTTGTTCTCCTTGGTGTCTCTGCGTAGTCGTAGCTGCTGTACGATGCCATGGAAGGCTGGCCAGACGTTGTGTTGCATCGCTGCTGACGTCTCGATGAACTTACAGTCAAACACTGCGGCACACGCACGACCCTCTGGAGACAAAAACAGTCCCACACAGTCAGACAGCTGCCGAGAAACTCAGAAACACACTCACTATCAAACACCATAGCTCACCCACAGCCCTCTGTAACACATACACATGTGCATGCATGCACACACACACCAAGCCTGTGCCTCTAATCTCACCGGTAATTGACACCTCTCTGCGGCGGACCAGGTCACACTTGTTTCCCACCAGGATGATTGGCGTGTGGTGGGCGGGGCGGTGTTGGCGGAGGGATATACGCAGCTCTGAGGCTTGCAGGAAGGAGGACCGGTCAGTTATAGAGTAGACCAGCAGGTACGCATCACCTGTCTGGATACACTGGTCCTGAGACGACCCTCCCTCATCCTGAAGGGAACACAAAATAGAGACTAGGTTAGAGCTGTGATATGTAAACACACTGTTAGAGTATGGCAAAAACACACACACAGCAAGACAGAGTTGAGACTAGGCCTACAGACTAGAGTTTAATCAAGTAACCATAAGAAGCTTCTCTCTTTACCTCTGAGTCCCAGTTGTCCACTAGAGTGACTGTGGCTTTCTCTCCATCCACTGTGATTGTCTGCTCACACACCTCATCTAAAGCACAAACCAATCACTGTGTTAAGAAGCACTTTCACAACCAACATCGACATTTAGATTCATACAAATATAATTGTTAAAGCACCGTACTTTTATATTGATGTAAGATGGATGCGTAAAAAGGAGCCCAAGTGGATGTTTCCCTATGTGCCCATTACACACAAAAACATTAAATACATCCATCCCTAATTTATAATATTGGCCTACCCTATAAAACATATTTTCCTTACTATCAAGCACATTGTAATTCATTCACCTCCATAGAGCTCGACCTCGTCACTGTCCATGCTGTCCATCGCTCCAGCGAAGATGCTGGCAATCGCGGATTTACCGACCCCTCTGGCGCCCAGCAGCACCACGCGAAACGGTCTCGAGCTACCCCCGGTATTCCCGGTAGATTCAGTGGAGATGAAGGAGTCTGTGGAGTCTGAAGAGGCCCAAGCTGTAGCGGCTCCCATCCGATTCCCCGGCGGAGTTCGTACAGGATTTGGAGCGGGACAAGCAGGCTGGAGGCGCGAGGCTGTCTGAGAGGTGGCTCCCGGTATCACTGATGCTCCACCGGTGGAGTTGGTGCTGCAGCCGCAGACTGTGTCGTCGCATGCTCAACAGCATGATGATAAGATAATAAAATAAATCTAACTAATAAAACTCGGCCTTAAAAATAAAGGTGCGCTGAAAAAACACCCTTGGACTGGACTATACGACAAATAATGGAATAGATGTGAATCTCCACAGTATTCTCAGAAATTTAAATAAATCCTACAAGTCCATAATTAAATGAAATGGATGAAGACTGGATACAACCAAATGTCCAAACTCATGAATAAGAGTTCATCAAATGCTACGAGCAAATGTCAGAAGTTGTCCCACATCGGTGGAAGTCACGCATTAGTGCCGGTAGACAGTTAAATCCTCGAGAGGGGAGAGAGAAGAAGAGGCTGTTTGGTTGTTGAGGTCTCTGACCACTGTGAGCGCGAGTAATCCCGTAAATCGGTCTCTCTCTAATGTTATTATGGGATTTCATCCGCGGCGAGATTTATATAAAGGAGGGCTCAGCGCGAGAGAGGGTTTCCTTGACGTCAAGTCTGTGTCCCCTCCCTTACCCGTGTGCATTCTCACGGCTCGGGCCAGTGGTGTTGAGGGGGTCTGGCCCTCCCACCCAGAGGCAGCAGTGGATAAGTGGAGATGTGTGTTTCCACATGTGTACTGTATGCCTGCCTACATGTTCCTGATACTATAGAGGCTGAGCAGGGACATATCATAACAGCCTGGTCTCATAGACTAGACATAACATAGTAAACGTAAATCCGGGACAACCAAATTAGTATAGTAGTAGTATGATATGTTATGTTTGGTATGGTTACATAAGACAGAAGGTTATAAAGATGCACTATGCAGAAATCGGTCCGCCATTACCTGGTTGCAAAAATTCTAACAGTTCGCATAATTTCAGTTTATGTGACAAAACAAGCACATATAGTGTAAAGAATCATTGTACAATCTAAACCGCTGTGAAATATATTTTCCGCAACCAAAAATATTTCATTTTCAGGTGTTTGAAGCTGGTGTACAAAACCGAAAGTAAAAGAGACCTGGTGACTGAGACGGCCATGGAATATGGTTTACATCGTTTTCATGCTCATCAAACCATTCAGTGACCACTCATGCCCTGTGAATGGGTAGCTATGGTAGCCAAAATAATGGGCAACTGGGCATTTTTCTACATGTCCCTAAGCATGATGGGGTGTTAATTGCTTAATTAACTCAGAAACCACACCTGTGTGGAAGCACCTGTTTTCAATATACTTTGTATCCCTCATTTACTCAAGTGTTTCCATTATTTTGTTAGTTACCTGTAGATTTATGAAGGATTTTTCCGGACAGACATTTGTGTTTCCACCTCCACGGCCGCCTCCAGTAACTCACTGGGCTATGGCCTCAGCGGACCTGCTCTGACTTGGGGCCAAGGCGAGGCCGCTGGGGTCTTTTCGGGGTTTCTTTTACATAACAATGGCTAACTGTGAACATGCATTAACATCCAGGGTTAACACTTTCTCACAATGCAACTGTTTTGACTATGCAGAAGTTGTTGATTCTCCGCTTCACAAGTCTCTAGTGTCACCCTGGGTGATGGAAACACACTTCCCAAAAAAGAACAGTAGAGCTTACATTAACATAATCACTGGTTACACTCTGGTGCTGCATGGAAAAGGTAATAAAAAGCGATGCATTTGAGTGACAGAAGGCCCCAGTCCTTATTCCTCTGGGAAGAGGCGTCATGCCCATAAGGACCACAAGGGCACGTGCCCCCTCAGATTTGTCCTGTTTAAAAAAAAAAAATTAAAATAAAAGGATATGTTGTTGTTTCTCTGTAATACTACTAGCCACATAGCAATTTTATGAAGTTGGCTTTAGCTAGCCTCATAGCTAGCTACCAATAGCCATTTCAGGCTGTCAAGTAAGAGTAGTGCATTTGGAAAGTATTCAGACCCCTTGACTTTTCCACATTTTGTTACGTTACAGCCTTATTCTAAAATGGATGAAATTGTTTTTTTCTCTCACCAATCTACACACGATACCCCATAATAACAAAGCAAACATGTTTATTTACTTTTGGCAGCGATTACAGCCTTGAGTCTTATTGGGTATGACGCTACAAGCTTGGCACACCTGTATTTGGGGAGTTTCTCTCATTCTTCTCTGCAGATCATCTCAAGCTCTGTCGGGTTGGATGGGGAGTGTCGCTGCACAGCTATTTTCAGGTCTCTCCAGAGATGTTCGATCGGGTTCAAGTCCGGGCTCTGGCTGGGCCACTCAAGGACATTCAGAGACTTGTCCCGAAGCCACTCCTGCGTTGTCTTGGCTGTGTGCTTAGGGTTGTTGTCTTGTTGGAAGGTGAACCTTCACCCCAGTCTGAGGTCCTGAGCGCCCTGGAGCAAGTTTTCATCAAGGATCTCTCGGTACTTTGCACCGTTCATCTTCCCTCAAACCTGACTAGTCTCCCAGTCCCTGCCCCTGAAAAACATCCCCCCAGCATGATGCTGCCACTACCATCCTTCACCGTAGGTAATAAAAAGCGATGCATTTGAGTGACAGAAGGCCCCAGTCCTTATTCCTCTGGGAAGAGGCGTCATGCCCATAAGGACCACAAGGGCACGTGCCCCCTCAGATTTGTCCTGTTTAAAAAAATTAAAATTAAAATAAAAGGATATGTTGTTGTTTCTCTGTAATACTACTAGCCACATAGCAATTTTATGAAGTTGGCTTTAGCTAGCCTCATAGCTAGCTACCAATAGCCATTTCAGGCTGTCAAGTAAGAGTAGTGCATTTGGAAAGTATTCAGACCCCTTGACTTTTCCACATTTTGTTACGTTACAGCCTTATTCTAAAATGGATGAAATTGTTTTTTTCTCTCACCAATCTACACACGATACCCCATAATAACAAAGCAAACATGTTTATTTACTTTTGGCAGCGATTACAGCCTTGAGTCTTATTGGGTATGACGCTACAAGCTTGGCACACCTGTATTTGGGGAGTTTCTCTCATTCTTCTCTGCAGATCATCTCAAGCTCTGTCGGGTTGGATGGGGAGTGTCGCTGCACAGCTATTTTCAGGTCTCTCCAGAGATGTTCGATCGGGTTCAAGTCCGGGCTCTGGCTGGGCCACTCAAGGACATTCAGAGACTTGTCCCGAAGCCACTCCTGCGTTGTCTTGGCTGTGTGCTTAGGGTCGTTGTCTTGTTGGAAGGTGAACCTTCACCCCAGTCTGAGGTCCTGAGCGCCCTGGAGCAAGTTTTCATCAAGGATCTCTCGGTACTTTGCACCGTTCATCTTCCCTCAAACCTGACTAGTCTCCCAGTCCCTGCCCCTGAAAAACATCCCCCCAGCATGATGCTGCCACTACCATCCTTCACCGTAGGGATGGTGCCAGGTTTCCTCCAGACGTGACCCTTGGCATTCAGGCCAAAGAGTTCAATCTTGGTTTCATCAGACCAGAGAATCTTGTTTCTCATGGTCTGAGAGTCCTTTAGGTGCCTTTTGGCAAACTTCAAGCGGGCTGTCTTGTGTCTTTTACTGAGGAGTGGCTTCTGTCTGGCCATTCTACCATAAAGGCCTGATTGGTGGAGTGCTGCAGAGATGGTTGTCCTTCTGGAAGGTTCTCCCATCTCCACAGAGGAACTCTGGAGCTCTGTCAGAGTGACCATCGGGTTCTTGGTCACCTCCCTGACCAAGGCCCTTCTCCCCCGATTGCTCAGTTTGGCCAAGCAGCCAGCTCTAGGATGAGTCTTGGTGGTTCCAAACTTCTTCCATTTAAGAATGATGGCCACTGTGTTCTTGGGGACCTTCAATGCTGTCTCTGAGCTCTACGGAGAATTCCTTCGACCTCATGGCTTGGTTTTTGCTCTGACATGCACTGTCAACTGTGGGACCTTATATAGACAGGTGGGTGCCTTTCCAAATAATGTCCAATCAATTGAATTTACCACAGGTGGACTCCAGTCAAGTTGTAGAAATATCTCAAGGATGATCAATGGAAAAAGGATGCACATGAGCTCAATTTCGATTCTCATAGCAAAGGGTCTGAATACTTTATATTAGGGGTGTAACGATTCGTTTTAACAACGATTCGATTTGTATCACGATTCGTGGTTGTCGATACGATTCAAGGACGATATTGGTTCATTTAGAACGATACGATCCAAAACGATTCAGTGACTTGAAATCGATTCAGTAACCTTTTAGCCAAAAATTCAACCAGTGTGACTGAAATAAATACCTGGATACTGGACAGTGCAGGTGAAGTTTCCTAGATTCCTGTTTCTTGTAAGGACCGCAATGGTGGCTTGATAATTTCTCGCTCGTCGGCTTCTCCTCTGTCGTCCGCCATGCTATGTTTTGTTGTCTTTGCGCCTTTGCGCTGCTGCTGGCGCGGGGCGATGACGTCACGGATAGGCAGACTGAATCGAGTAATGTTTAAAGCCTTTATCATTAAAAGTGCTAAGAAAAAACATCCATATAAAGTCTGACGTGCTTAAATCCAATGGGTTATTTCCTAGTATCGATACAATCGATTTATTACATTTTAAAACGATGTTAGATTGATATATGTTGTCCAAAAGGCCAACTCGCCGAGCACAGATCGATGTAGTTGGATCATAGGAATATAAATCGATACATCGATGTAGTAGATGGATCGTTACACCCCTACTTTATATATATATATATTTTTGGGGGGTTACAGTCTTGTCCCATCACTGCAACTCCCGTACAGACTCGGGAGAGGCGAAGGTTGAGAGCCATATGTCCTCCGAAACACGACCCTGCCAAGCCACACTGCTTCTTGACACACTGCTCGCGTCACCCGGAAGCCAGCCGCACAAATGTGTCGGAGGAAACACCGTACAACTGACGACCGTGTCAGCGTGCATGCGCCCGGCCAGCCACAGGAGTCGTTAAAGCGCGATGGGACAACGACTCCCGGTTGTGGCCAGCTGCGACACAGCCCGGGATCGCAGCCTAGCACTGCAATGCAGTGCCTTAGACCGATGCGCCACTCGGGAGGCCAGGGTCTGAATACTTACGTAAATAAGGTATTTAGGATTTTTTATTTGTAATAAATGTGAAAAAAATTATAAAAACCTGTTTTCGCTTTGTCACTATGGGGTATTGTGTGTAGATTGATGAGGAATGCACTGTAGCTTGTCTAACTTTCTTAGCTGGCAAGCCTGCTGGCAAGGTTAGCAGACTTTAGAAAAGCAAGAAATTACTAAATGTAATGAATAAGACTCACATTCCTTTTACCCAGATTTTAGCAGAGAATCATTCGTTTCTTTAAAACAAAACACCAGTCAGAAGGATACAGACAGCTCAAGAGGTACGCAGAAAAATAAACATTTTTGACATATAATTAAGCATAATTATTATGGCTCTAGATTGAAAGAAAAAGCTAAATTATCAAATTTACAGACAACGGGCCCAGCCTGCCCCCAGCCATCCTCAGGTACTTTGTGCCCCCTGCCTCTAGATGAGGTATATAGGGCATCAGAATGCATTTACGATATCATTATCACAATTCCTCCTGATGCAGGCCTATGTCTCCATTAACCTCTGACTGGTAAAGAAGCTGAATGAACAGATATATTTAGAGGTAGGTTTAATGCAGTAGGCTTACAGAAGACTTAGATTAATACTGTCAATGAGATGAAACACTGAGCCAGAAGTTACACCACGAATCATACTGGGTCAGGAGTTACAGTGGGGAGAACAAGTATTTGATACACT